CGAAGTGGAGGCTGCTCATCAACCGTTCCATCAAAAAAACACTTACTAGCTTGCCACCAATCAGTGGCAAGCTCAGCTTCCGTGGGTGTCAGCCTCTGTAGAGGAGTGTTGGCCTCCTAACAATATAAAAGCTCAAACAAAGTTAAACGTGTACTAGTAATAACTTGTTTATAAACATATGGTAGTATTTATGTTAACTTATATTATTTATTGTCGTATACCGTAGTAAATCTTCCCATTGCAAGGTTCGTTTCCTCTTCCAGGAAATAGCCCTGGGAATATCATTTGAAGTTTTTATTGCATATGTCTTCATGGCGGGAAAGGCCTCAAATATCCAAATCTACAAACAATATAATAACAAACATTAGTAATTGTTAAATAATTACTTATAATTTTGGAAACATCATATAAAAATTCTTACCTTAAAGGCCCAAATAAAGCCTGTCAAAGTGTATTTGGAACCATCGCCATGCAAACTTTTTCAATCATCCAAGGCAGACGATAACTTATTCCATGTAGCTTTCCATAAATACGAGCCCCACGGAAATAGGTTCCACGCATTTAGGTCTTCTACCAATTTGATTAGATCATTTGGAATAGGTTGTCTGGCCTCTCTGCCTAAAAAGCCGGCATGCAAAATAATTAGAAGGCATACTCGGACAACGTCGACGTCATCCATCCGAGTAAAACCGTCTTTATTATTCAACAATCTTGTCAGGTCTTCTACGTGTAGACTCGGCCTCTCCAGCTCAGGAAAAACCCGGGATAGCCATGATGGACGGGTAATGTGTCTAGTGTACCGACCTACATTATCGTGTCCGAAGCGTAGACCGGTGATTAAGCAAAACTCCTCCCGCCCAAAACACGTATACGCCGGTGGAAAATCAAACCATATCTCTTCATCACGATGTTGTATAGTCTCTGGTAGATCGCTAGTCATGGTTTGAAGAAACAGGTGTGTCAACATCGCATCTCCACCGGGATGTTGTACTTTCAGCCATGGCCCGAAGCATGTATCCTCAAACATTTTTCTTTGTGCAGGTGAAAGCTTCGACACAATTGTTTTGGCCAGGCTGACTTTATTTCTCAATGTCAATTGAGCCGAATAAAAGTTCTACAAAAAACAATAAACATACTAAATTAGATATACCAAAAACTACACTGTGAAGATATACCAAAAACAATAATAAACATAAAGAGTAGTAGTTTATTCTTCAAACTTAAATTTGCAACACTGTGAATTTCGTATTTGTCTTTGTTTTTTTGGTTGAAGTAATGCAATTCATTCAAGTTTCAATTTGCAGAAGAAGAATAGTTTCTGAAAATGAAAATCGCAACACGAAAATGACTATCGCAACGCGAATTTGATTATCGCAACGAGAGAATCGCAACGCGAAACTAAAATCGCGTTGTGATTTGCATTTCGTGTTGCGATTCTCGGTTGATTTAATAAGCAATCTAAGTGAAATGGTTAATCTATTATTGAAATTACTAGTAAACTTATCATCAATTTCAATATGAAAAGCCTAATAATAATGCAAAAATTTCAAAAAAGAAAATAATTAAAAAAAACTAACCCTCGTTGGTTGATTTGGTTGATTTTCCATTTCTGATTGTGAGGGTGGCTCTGAGAGATGGAGATAGACGGATTTCGCCGGAGATGGGGACGGATTTCGTCGGAGATGGGTGAGAGAGTGAGAGATGGAGATGGGACTGAGTTGTGATTTTAGGTTTTAGGTTATGAGTTGCGATTACGGGATATACTGTGGACGGTTCAGTGTTCCAATATATTAATATTCGTGTTTGGAATTTAAAAATAAAATACTTGGCCAGGATACTAATGGCGCTTTGAAAATCGCATTGCGATTATGTATTATCGCGTTGCGAAAGTCAGTATCGCGTTGCGAAAGTAAGTATCTCGTTGCGATTTTGTATTATCGCATTGCGATAGTCAGTATCGCATTGCGATTTTCCCAATTTGCGTTGTAATTTACTTATTCGCATTGCGAATTGAGAAAATCGCAACGACACTGTAGACCATCGCAACGCGATTTTCAACTATCGCATTGCGAAAATACAACGCGAATTTGCGATAATGGAGATCGCGTTGCGAATTAGCGATCGCATTGCGATTTTGTTGGTCATTTTGGCAAATCCGGAAAAAGTTGGTTAAAATCATATATTATATGTGATTTTTGGTCACTGAAGTTATTTTCTCTTAAAATAATTGAATATGAATAAAGTAAGCATTTATTATGGTAGCTAGTGTGGTAGATCACTGAGTATGTAACATGCAAGTGCATGTAATGCAACTATATGATCACTTGATAAATATTATAGCATTGAACCATAAAAAATAGCATAACATATTAATTATTTTGGAGCTTTATTAATATTCATAATTGCTATGAAAAAAGTACTAAAATACCATGAAAATTAAATATAACTGAATTAAAAGGGATTGACACATTTAAATTAAATATTCAATTCCAATATTTTCTTCTATATATTTGCCTACTTTGGTCCTCCTTTAAAGAAGGCCATCTGTTGCCAATGGCGATGTACTTGAATAGTCCATATCAACAATTAATTGATTGCTTTATACATTTAATATTTTTCTATTAAAAAATCAGTTATATATTAATAAAACAAATCATTATTTTATTATCATTAATATTTAACTTATTAATTGATTATTATGAATTTAATGATTTAAAAATTAGTATAATCTTAACCTATTACGTAGAATGAGAGATAAACACTAACATATTAACCTATTACGTAGAATGAGAGATAAACACGAACATATATTACTATAAGTCTGTCTGTATAATATGTTTTCTTTTGTCTTTCTGACATTTGTTTTGCCTTTTGGCATTTTTTGACCGTTTGATCATTGTTTTCATTTATCTTTTTCAAATGTTTGATTAGACATCGTCATGACTGATCAAGAAGATGCTTATTTGTTATATTGTTGATCTTCCCTGCTTTGGACACTCGAATTGAATTTGGATACTCGTTATGCTTTGTGGATAGCTTTTCATGTCGCTCGAGTCTGATTTGTAATTTGTCGGTGGTCTTTCAGTAGCTTGATCCCTATTTGTGAATCGTTTGCCGATGTGATCAGATTTGTTTGTATCTATCTTTGCTTGAGTTTTCTTGGTTAGATTTTAATCTTTCATTGTATAGTCCTTATGTGATCTTAAGTTGCTAGTTTTGTTTCAATGATTATAGGAAATTGTCCTAATTATGTGTTTAATTTACGATTATGATTGTAAATATTTATTGTAATTTAGTATATTTCTTATTTTGAATAAAATTAGTAATTTATTTTTAAAAAATATTACTATAAAAATTAAATTAGATAGTATGTATGTTAAAAAAATAAAAATAACAAAAAGAAAGTGATATTGAAGACTTATAGTAGAGTCAAAGTGTTATTGGAGCTTTGAATATTTTATGGTCTTATTAAATTTAAAATATGATAACCTTATTGTTATTGAAATTATTCAAATTACAGAAGGAATGTAGGTCGATGTGGTCCTTCATATATATACATTATTTTTATGAAAAAAGAGGAGGCCAAGTTATTAATAACAAAGGCTAGTCCATGACAAAGCATGTGAAATCCAATACAAGTTGATGAGCTTACCTTGTATCAAGGGAAGACGCTGCATGTGAAATTTAATTGTTTTTCTCTTAATTTTTCAACTACTCTTTGGGCTAAGGATCCTCCCCCAACTAAATTTTTAATGATGAGGCCCACAGTTGACCATCAGGATCGAACAAGATAGATCCAATGGTGACTATACCATCTAATCATAAATAGTCGGTGATAGAACCAAGATTCAAGGAAGGTAATATATAATTATCATAGAAAATAAAGGGGATGAAATCAAAATAAAATTAAAATTAGGAGCTTTAATTTATGATTTACCAATAGTTTTTTTAATAATAAAAAATTTGAGGGACGGTGACTCCTTAAGGATAAGCTATGCTTCGTCCCTGTAAATATTTCTATTTAATAATTATTATTTTTATAAAAATATATAAGTTTTAATCCTTAAATTTTATAAATTTGTTTATCTTAAAATTTTTAAGTTTCACATCAACTTTTACGCTCCCCTACTTAATAGTGTTCTGACGGGTCTAGGTGAGTCGGCTTGGTTTAGGATATTTGGGCCTTTTATTTCTGGATTAATTTTGTTTTGAATTAATATGGGCCTGCACAGAAATTAGTGCCCACACTCCTGGTTCAACACCTTTTGAAGAACTCAGTGCTCACCTTTTATTTTAGATTATTTTATGTATTTTTTTATTAAAACTTTATTTTCGTCCCTAAAATTTTATAAATTAATTCTTCTTATAATTTTAGAAATTTATTTTTTAATATAAAATTATACATCCGTTCCTGCGTCACTTCATCATCATGAAGTTCAGGTTGCCTCATTCTAAGTTGCGCTTCTACGCCGCATTGTTCTTACTGCCAAATTTAAATAGAAAAATAAATCTTTTTTTCTACGTAACGATAACTATAGGATTTATGATTCGCAAAAGGATGAAGTGCGTCTAAATATATATATACGTAACGATAACCACCTCGATCCAACAGTACTCGAGCACTGAGCTTTCAAAACTTTCATTTCACAATTGAGCACTAGCTGAAGAAGGCAACTCATGAAGTAAAGACGAAGACCTTTCCTAGTATCTTCCTTTTCTGAGGCCAAGCTTTGGTATATACTACTTTTAATCAGAATAGATTTTTTAATTCATTCACCTTTCAGTTTGGAACAAAGGTGATTATTGTTGGATTATAATGAAAGCTGGATCATTACGAGTGGCCTGGATTGGCTTATATGTTCTTAAAGGTGATCATACCTGGTAGGCTTAACCCCTTTCATGGCACAACTGAGCTTGGGAAAAGCTACTTTAAACTATAGATAATGAATGAATAATACAAGGATAGTCATTACCAAAACATATATGGGATAAACATGCATGTATAGGTAAAAATAATAATGAATGAATAATACAAGGAATAACTAAATCAATCCATGTCAAGAATGGTCTGCAAAGCCTGCATTTATTAGCGTAAAAAACGCACCATTGCAGCAGCCATAGAAACTATGGGTTATTTCACTCCATCCTCCACCACAAATCATCCGCCGGAGGCATCTCCTTTAGCAGCCTTTCGAACTCCTTGAACTCCCCCGACCTAGAAGAAGCACTTCCAACCCTGGCAACCTGCACTTCTTTCTTGTTTATCTCTTCATGGTAAAACCGGCTCCTCCGCCTCAGCGGATTGCTTGTAACTTCCGAATCTTTTCCGGTCAGCTCTTGTACGACGGACTTAAAGCTCGTGGCATCCGTTTCGACGTACTTTGTGTTGATGATCACCACCTTCACTGGTTCTCTTTCTTTTGACATATCAAAATTAAAGGAAGAATAAAAGAAACCAATAATCCGATTACGCTAAAGGGTAGTTTTGTTTTAATGATTTTGTGTTAGTGTATGCTGTTTCCATATATATAGAGAGAAGTAGATCACATAAGCAATGAAAATTGTACGGATGCATTGGTAGAAGCTGAAGCTGAAGCTAAAACGAGACATGAGACTGTTTGACCGTTATGTTTACAGGCAGTCTAGATGGATAATTTTCTTTTTATTTTATTTTTTTGATTGGGTCAAAAGCGTATATTATTAAAAAGGGCGATTTGAATTCAATGACACATTAGAGGAAATTGCATGTTGAAATGCATTGCATTCGTACGTATGTATACGATTACGAGGTCAGTCAAAGGGCACATGCGTGCCATTGTGGACCCAGCATGGCCCCTTCTGCTTTGACGTTAATACATTTTCAAGCTTCGGCTTCAGTTTCTGTGGTTGGTGAAGGACAGAATTGGACGTAGTAATGGTTAATCAAGTAACGTAAATGATTCAAAATTAGTTACTTTTTGTATAGTATATCAATCACTGTTGATGTCTTCATTTGGATTTTATTTTCTTGTGATTAAATATAAGTTTTGATATTTTTATGATTATAATCATATGGTTGGTCGTTATAAAGTTTTTGTCACTTGTGATTTAAGTAATGTAAAATTTAAACTTGGACAGGTAAATGGTAATTAAAAGTTTTAATTTTGATGCCACGTGTTTGCAGCCCCATGGTAAAGATTTCTTTGAAAGGACAGTCAATATAACATATAATTGTTCCTTTTGGTAATATTAGAAAATGGCAAAAATAATAAAAAATGATTTGAAGTTTGACCACAAATGTTGACTTTGGATGGATCAGAAAAGGTCACTTTTGGCTTTAGCTTGATTTGTTTTCTATTTATACACACATTTTCAGATAAATTCGGATCGATCTGTTACACACTTAATTTTGGTGAGTGAGTCTTTCAACTGAGATTTTCTATATACACAAAGACTCAAACTTAAGATCTTGTTTAAACGATATCAAACTGCTTACCACTTAAATCAATCTATATTGATAAGATTTATATTTTAAAGATTGATATTATCTCTTTCACCTTGGTAAAAAAACATAAATAGCGAGTGTTATGTCATATGTAAATTAATTTAGGTTTTAAAGTTAGAATTAGATTTTTTTTTTTATAAAAATCTTAAAATTAAAATATTGTTATTTTTTAGAGATGTCTTTTGAAGATATCTTTCGGATAGGAGTGTTCATCGTCGGTTAATCGTACCATTTAGTTTAAGTAGTCGGTTAACTGTTAAAAATCGTAATTTAATCATTGAGAAACGATTAACCACTAATGGTTAATCATTATTAGTTATTCGGTTCGGTTAAATATTAACTTATTACAATTTTTTTTAAAGACAACACAACATAAAAGTTTCAAAGTTTCATAAAATTTACGATGATATAAACATGTATATTTGTAAAAATCTTATTTATTTGTAGATGCATTTTATTTTTATAGAAACATATACATTAAAGGAGGTATATTCGTTTTTAATTAAATTTAAAATCTTACGTGCATATCTGCTAATAAACATACTAAGATTAATTTATGATCATAGGTCTGATACCAATCACCCTCTAGTTGAAATATTTATATCCAGAAGAAAGATCGAAAGAGAAGATTCCCTCCGCTCTTTTCTCATTCTTTACTCACATCTTTTTCCTTATATTTTTATCACTCTCACAGAAAAATACTGACTAACAACTATTATCTCACTGATTGACTTTCTATCTAAATTAGAAAATGACGGATACAATTAAACTATTCCTATTAACAAACATATACTTTTCAGTGATCAATGAATATCAATACAAGGGATCAGTTAACATTTACTTGACAAAAGCCTAATTCTCGTTTAAAATATTTCCTTTTGAACCGGCAATTGTAATATTTAATTTGGACAACATAGTCTAAATCTTTTACTTTATTTCAAAGGGTAATTTTCTTCTTCTTTTGTTTGGTTAGATATTTTCAAAGGTTTTGGAAAGCCGTATATGGTTGGTCCCAATTCAAGGATGTAGGGAGTGTCCCACCGTTTCAACTCAAAGATAGATGGATGAGAAACGATTTGGGGTCTTTCCAGGATTGTTCGATTGAAGTAGGTTAACTCTAGGCTGGTGTGTTCATTTCATGGATGATTCAGCATTTATTTACGTTGTTGGACCTAATCATGCAATTAATAAGGGAAAGAGAAAGGAAGAAAATGATAGTTGCCAAGCTTGACCGCTGTTGGGATAGGGACAACATCAAACTAAACTTATTGAGTTTTAGAATGGGTCATTATTCCCGGTATAATCATTTGTTTGAATTTGCATATTTAATTTGTATTTGTAAATAGTTTTTTTTAAGATAATTAACTTTGATTCATGTCCGTGGATGATTGTTTTTCAGTAGTTTAATCAAATGTTGTGATTCATTTACTTATACAGTCAGGTCTATTCATATATATTCTTTTTCGAGTTAATTTCATCACACGTCCTCAAAATATGACCATTATGTTAATTTGGTCCTTAAACTTTTAAATATTCCAATTACATCCCTAAATTATGACTATGATTCTAAATTAGTCATTAAACTTCTGAACATTTCAATTTCACCCCCGAACTATGACTTTCATTCTAAATTGGTCCCCAAACTTTGTAAACACTTCAAGTTCATCCCAAACTATACGTATATAGTAATCACATCTCTTGTTAATAAAATCGTCAGGACAATTTATATTATCATATGTTTTAAAAAATAAATTGTATGTTAAATTATTGTTGAAACCAATTACATATTTGGATGAATTTAGGGATAAAATTGAAATATTCAAGAGTTTGGGGACTAATTTAGAAAGAAAGTCATAGTTTAAGGATGAAATTAGAATGTTCAAAAGTTTAAGGATTAATTTAGAATGAGAGACATAGTTTGGGGATGAAATTGGAATATTTAAAAGATTAAGGACTAATTTAAGATGAAGATTATAGTTTGCGGAACATATGATGCAATTAACTCGAGTTTTTTTTGGATGAATTTTTTAACTTTTCCTTGTATGATTCTTATATGATCTCAAATGACTAGTTACTTGTATCAATGGCTATATAAGAATATCTTAGTCATACGTTTAGTTTATGATTATGATCGTAAATTTTCATTATAATTTTAGATGTTTTCTCTTTTCAATAAAAATAGTTACTTCTATTTAAAAATAATATATTTTGATAATTTAAAATTTAGTCTATCAACACCACTCCCCCACAGCAACAAGGACCTGGCTTTACCTCTAGAAGGTAATGCATCAAAACACAAAAGCCAAAGAAGAAATCACCTTTGGGGGAACCAAACCATTTCATTCTCAGAGCCAGAATAACCCAAACAAGCCTGTACAATTTTAGAAAAATTTAGGGCAAAAGTAGAAATTAAAAATATTTTAATTTGAGTGCCACATCATAAAGATTTCTTAGGAAGGAAGATATCAATAGGAAAGTCAGCATCGCTGTATAAAGATTACTCGTTGCATTGCTAATATTAGGAATGACAAAAATAATAATAAAAATAATTAGAAGGCACACAGTATGCTTAGCAAATATTAGAATATACGGAAACTCTGATATGGGATTGTCAAAACAAGGGCAAAAATCTCAAGGTGAAGCTTCAACCAGAAGCATCACAGTATCTCGTGTCGAAAACAAAAAGGCGGCGGAAAAAGATAGAAAGGATGAAACAAAGGGAAGTACTTAACCATCCCCTCGACACGACAAGGTTTCTTTTGATCGGGAGATCATCTAGTTCCATCCCTCTTAAAAGGCTCGGTTGACGATTGATTAAAGCAATGTTGGACGGGTAACTCGCGGCCTCACGGGTGTTTTTGAAGGACTTACCCTGAAAATTAAGAGTTCAAACATAGAGACATTGGCTTTTAAAAAATGACAGTCATGGAATTTAGTGCAACAAATTTGGAGACATACCTGATGGCCTGGGTTCCTAACACCATCCTGCTACAATTCAGAGCGGTTATGGCACTTTCCGCCTGTACATAAACAGGGAAGACACAAAACATCATGCCGAAAAATTATTACTTGGGAAACAAGTATTAGACTACAAGTTCCTAGCACAATATATGTATAGATGCATGTATAGATCTATTGTTAACAAACAATCAGACAAATGGAGTAAAAGACAGTTTGATCATGCAACATGTTGCTGAAACATCTGTGAAGCTGTTCTGCAATATTTTTTGTAAACTGCGATGGAAGCCACTCAATTCATACGATCACGATCCTACATCCTTAAATCCTTTACGAACAAAAGAAAGAAAATCACTTATATAAATATATATCTCAAAGGGGTAGAGTTATCAATTTCGGCTTTTTACGAAGACATGTCAACTTGTAACATGACATCAAGCAAAGGCTATAGCAAAACATGCTCAATCTCAGGATATTGTAGCATAAACCTTTGTTTGTTAATTAGTTAATAACAGATAACAGCTCTAGGAGATTATCAACTAATTTCAGAGTCTAATGGCTGAAGTCGAGATTATGCTTCTTAAAGCCACAATTCAAAGACTAAAATCTCATAGGTTTCAAGGTATCAAAAACATAATCTGAAATAATTTGAGCCTAGATCTTTTCCAACCTCAGTCCTGAAAATATGAAAATTACCATGGCGAATTCAATAAAAGCAATATGGGTTGAATGCACATTATCCCCTAAAAGCCTCAATCGAGTGACCTGAGAATCGAAAGAAAAACAACGTCGACCTTCAAAACCACTCTACCTTTAGTCTTCTAGTAAGAAACAGATGGAAAAGGGCATGCATGGTGTTGATACAATACTAACCTCACCACAGGCTGATTCGAAGAAATTATTCACTTCAGCTTGAGAAAGCTTCAAATAAAGTAAAAATGTTCCAGAGGATTAATTTGACTACGTTACAGCAGTGATAAAAGTCCAGAACTCAAACATTCACGTAAGCAAACACGGGGTTTACCTTCTTGTCAATATTTGTACAATAAACCGTCCTGGTACACATCTCCCTTTCATCTTCCGACTGCAATTGTAGTTATTATAATGAACAGCGAGTCTAGAAAGAACACTGTAGAGAAACCTCAATAGCTATTTAGCAATGGTGAATTTCATTGGAAACTGAAGTTTTATGAAAAACTGAGATAGCTAAGAGCGAGAATGGTATTCATACATACCCTCGGGAGAAACGTGGGGTTCACAGGGAGGATGGCAGTTTTTGAAGGCAAGACCCTAACTGGATAAAACCCCAACATTATCCCATTGAGGTTCAAAGCAGCCCTTGCACCTTCTGTAAAACAATGTACATATAAAATGTAACATGTGAATAACTGTGCATTGATTTATAAAACAAAAGTTCATGTCCAGTCCATAGTAGCTGCTTACCTTCATCTGCGAATTCCACAAATGCAAACTGAAGAACTGAATGTGGATCAGCACAAACTCGGCAATCAACAACCTTCAATAATAATTTCCAACCCACTTCAGAATTGTCATACGGATATCAGCCTCATAAGCTATCAAAGAAAGTAATTCTATCAAGCAGTATCAACCAAAGACACAACATCCTTTCGTTTTCCCGAGAAGAAAGGAGATACTCAACCCTCGAAATCAAATTTAAATTGAGGTTCTAAATGAAAAAATCAAAATCTGAAATCCAGAACCATGCCTTAATAAGATACAAAAGTGGAAAACAGTCTTGCAAATATCACAGACATAGCTGTTCCATAGACCGAAACGATAAAAGCTAGAACATTATTGTAAATTGTTCCATATGTCTTATGAGAGAAGGAATGAAGTTGTGCAAGAAGCAGAATCACTGAGGAATAAAAAGAATAATAACAAAAACTTTAAAGTCGGCATTTTAACTCACTTGTCCACAATTACTAAATAAGCCAGCAAGTTGCTCTTCAGTAACCTGAAAGAAGTGATTTTCAAAAGTGACTTCACAAATCAGAATGAAACCGAGAAAAGGAAATCACTAAATAGTACTACTGGTTAAACTTACATTCTGATCAATATCAGAAACATATACCGTTTGCCTGATACTATCATCTCGCTGAGCTCGAAAAGCTTTACCATTGAGCCTTCTCCTACCTTGGTTGAAGTTATTTCTTCTCTGAAAAAACACAACTATAACCATTTACCAAATGTAACGGAGAAAATTTAAAGAACAAATGCAAGATCATCACATGTCAATATTGATCTTAACCTTCTTTTTCCCACTAAGTCAGTTAATTTCGTTAATAGAGATCAAACCCTCACAGAAAAGATGATCATTTCCCCCCAAAAAAATAAATAAAAAACACTAAGAATTAGCAAGAAACCATCGTTCAGCCCGTAAAAATAAATAAAAATGCAATTAGAAATAGATGTAATTCAGTTGGTGTAAAAAATATACCCTTCTGTTGGAGTTATTCTTGTTTCCAGCTGATTTGTTATCAACAGGCACCAGATTAAATTTACTCTCATTGTTGGTCTCATTTTGGTGATAGGATGATGGGAAAAATTCTTTGGCCAAAGGATTCAACTTTGTGAACATATCAACCAGATTCTGCACATTGAATTCCTTTGGTTCTGATTTGGCTGTTTCCACCTCCGAATTGTTCTTCTTGTCATTAGCAGCCGCCTCTACTGGCGCTGCTTCACCTGACTTGTCAGCAACTGCAGCCATAAAAACAACCTGATTTGTTTTTTTTTTGTATTTGCAAATTTATTGCCTTTATTTCTTCTTTCTCACTACAGAGCAAAAAAGTTCAGAGCTTAGAGAGAGAGAAAAATTAAGATCGTTGATAATGCCGTATAACAGATACCCATTAAAAATGTCCAGAAATGGAAATAACAGTGAAAATGCAGATTGTGTTTTCGTTTTCTGGCGGGTGTGATTTAACTAAATCAACAAATATATTAAATTTAAGAAATACAGATAGAAAGCAACAAAGTTAGGGTTTTGGAGAAACTGGCATTCAAAGATCAAAGGAAGGAGGATATATATATAGAGAAGAACACAGATTTTTTTCTTTTAATGATTTAAAAAATAAATTGGCAGAGAGAGCTAATGAAGTGAAGAACGTTAAAAATGGGAGAATAACCAACTTTTACAACATAAAGATTATTTTAATTTTTTTCTATTAAAAATATATTTTTCATAAGATGTCAATAATAATTTTAATTTTCTAAAAAAAGTATATTACAAAATATAAAAATATTTTTAAAATTTAATATCAGATTAAGAAGGAGAATATTTAACTCCTACCTTCTTGGGTGGTTACGATTATAAATTAATATTTATATATTTTTAAACTTTTTAATAGATTTTAACTTTTTAATAATCATGCATCACTTCTTGCCAAATAAAATTGAATTAAATATTGTGAAAATTTATTTAGGTTAATTAATTAGTTTATTTAACTACATTCTAATCGAATATTTAAAATTTTGTATTATATATTTATATTAATTATTAAAATTTTGATAGAGTTTAAAGTAAATTCAAATAGAAATATATATCCTTATTTTAAATTATAATAAAAATATTATAAAGTTATTTTATATCCCAATAAATATTATTATAAAAGTGTTTTTAATTTTTTATATTTTTTACAAATCTTCAAATAAATGTATATAAGAAACAAAAAATTAAAAATTCAACTAAATAATTTAGACAAACGATAGATAAAAATAAATATTATTTCGATGATAGGGTAAAAACACCATTAATACTAATGTAAAGATACAATGATAATCATAATGACTTGTTAACAAACTAACATTATTACAACCAGGGATGAAGTTAATATTAAATATAGACAGGGGCTCGGAATATTAAATTATTTAAGAAAAATAAAATGACTTATTAAGGATTCATACTCAAAATTCAGCACGAACCAAACGACTTTGATGATTAAGGAATTATTGTTATCCTTGAGGTCCTTAATTTGAGCATTGCATATATAAGAGTATGAGCATTTATTGCCAAATAATTGAGAGTATTTGTACATATAGTACATTGTATTCACCCAAGATTTATATATATATATATATATATATATATAACTCAAAATTCACAAGACAACACCCGATTTATCTAATATTTAAACTTACAATGACATAAATTGTTACTAGACCAAAAATTTAAGAACACGAGGTTATCATTCTTTAGTTTGACCCCTGCTCGATTAAATATTTAATAAATTCTTATATATTTTTTAAATTTAATATTCATTTTTATATGAATCAAAATAGTATTAAACTAAAATTATATCGAATATACTAAACTTTTAAAAAGGGTCGAGTCCCTTTTAGCCCTAACACAGCTCCGCCATATAGTACACATTACACAACTCTAATAAGAAAAATCATCTATGTTCAACACAATACATACCACAAATATCACAAGCAAATAGTACACAACATAGCAGAAAGACCAGTTACCACTAAATCGTAAACACCAAATCTTCTTGAATTACTCTGCAACTAGTTGCTTCTACGACAGCGTCTACCACTGAGTTTTGACCGTTTCAGCGTTCGGGGTTGAAGTCCTTCAACCATCAGCAGCAGCCATTGAGGTTTCCCAGTTGAAAACACCACATACCCCATAATCAGTCCAAAAATGACTCCACATCCATACCCTAACACTACTACTTTCCACCCGAACTCAAACATTGAACCTGATGAAACATTTTGTTGTCGTGCTGGAGGATGCTGGGTTTCGCTTTGGTTGCACACTCTGGACAATGGAAATCCGCATAATCCCGAGTTTCCTAGATAGGACTCGTTTGAAAATGTATTGAACTGCTTCCCCTGTGGGATTGGTCCCTCAAGTTTGTTGTATGAAAAGTTCAAGACTTCAAGGAATGTCAGATCCAACAACTTTTGTGGAATGCTGCAAGTAAGTTGATTTGAAGAGAGGTCTAACCATTCCAAGTCTGTCAAGGACCCAATTGATGATGGAATGCATCCCATAAGATTGTTATGGGAAAAGTTGAGCCCTTTAAGCGACTTAAGCTTTCCAATGTTGCTTGGAATTTCCCCACTGAATTTGTTGTTGGATAGATCAATGGTGGTCAAGATGGTAAGAATTCTTGTCAGCTCAATATCCATCCCTTTCATGGTAATCTTCACATCATCCTGATAGTAGCCGTCTTCAGGTCCCACGTATTGCAGTTCCCGTAGTTCATAACTGCCCAGGCTCAACATAGCTTTTAAATTGTCGAAGAACCTGGTAGGCAATGAGCCTGTGAATTCATTGTGAGAGATGTCCATGATTCGCAACATAGGAAACCAAGGTTTAGTTTTATGGCTGACTATGGCACCATGGAACTTGTTAGATCTTAAGACAAGAACCCGAAGCTTCGGAAGAACTCCCAACCAATGGGGAAACTGACCACTAATTTTGTTGTTACCAATATCAACAACTTCCAATTCTTTACAATTATGCAGAGAACGTGGCAACGATCCCTCCAATTGATTTCCGTTCAGGGAAAGAGTCATTAAGCTTCCACATTCAGCAAACTTCGTAGGTATTACCCCATGAAAGTTATTCGTTCGTAGATCTAAAACAATCAACGAATCGCTGAATTCTCCCAAACATTGTGGAATTTTGCCATTCAAGTGGTTATCAGACAAGTCAATAATTGAGGCATGGCTCGCATTGCAGATCGAAAGAGGAATCTTTCCAGTCAACTTATTTGTTGACATTAAAACTACTTCTGGCCAATACACTGCATCTGGAAGTGACCCTTGAAGTAAATTTGAGTGGAGATCAATTATGGATAAGCTCTGCCATGGAAGAAATCTTTGGAAACTTGTCATAAGGTTGTGTGAAAGATTCAGATATTCCAACGAATCCTCTCCAAGTCCCCAGAACCACTCTGGTAGACGCCCATGAATTTTGTTGCTCGAAAGATCTAAAGTTTGCACATACTTTGAATCTCTCAAGAATGTTGGGATTTCTCTTAGGTTGCATGAGGACAAAAGTAAGGAATTAAACATGGGGAAGGATAAATTCTGGTTGCTACTAGGAAGGCTCAAGGACAAGTTGTTGTATGAGAGATCAAGAGAGGTAAGATTCTTGAGTTGTGAAATCATCTCTAGATCAAGAAAGCCTGTCATGTTATTTGACGAAAGTATGAGAGTATCCAGGTGCAGAAGCCCAAAGAGTGACCTTGGAATTGGGCCATCGAGCTTGTTGTTGCTTAGATCAACGTAAGACAACTGTGATTTACTCGCATGAAAGTCATCAAGATGGCCATCAAGTTGATTATAACTAAGATCCAAGTATTGTAATGATGGGATAGTAAACAAGTCAGGAGGTACTATTCCATTGAAATTGTTCATCCGAAGATTTAGGACAGACAACTTGGTGAGATTAGTGAATGCATTTGGAATTTGACCAGTGAAGTTGTTACCTGAAAGATCTAAAGAAGAAAGATGCTCAAGTTTACCAATTGAAAAGGGAAGCTGACCTGTGAAGTCCGGACTGGCGAGGTGAATATCGGTGATTTGTGTAAGGTTTCCAATGGATGCAGGGATAGATCCTGTGAAAGAACCTCCTAGAGTCAGGGACTTGAGCGACACTAAATTTCCAATGGAATCGGGCAGTTCTCCTGTGCCTTCAACATTCAGATATTCCAAAAACTTCAAACCCCCAATAGAATCCGGCAATCCTCCTAAGAATGATCTTGTGGCAATTACTTGTAAGAACTTGAGGGGAGCAGTCCAATTAGACTTGGGGAAATGTACTCTCATCATAGGATTGTACCCTAGCTGGATTGATTCCAAGTTTGGTAATTGAAATATATGAACAGGAAATGTTCCTCCATTAGTTTCGCCCAGATGACACGAGTCTAGATTGAGAGACACCAAAGAAGAAGACAAATTGGCCAGAGAATGAGGAGCAACACTATACATGTCCACCTCATTGAGCAAAAACTCCCTTAAATTAGTCATGTTTCGAACCGATCTCTTCATAGAAGCATTCTCCAAGTAGAGACCCCAATTGGAAGAGAGGTCTAAAGAAACAAGTTTGGATAAATGGGATATTTCTTGTGGGACCGAACCAGAAAGATCAGAATCAGATAAATTGAGATGTGTCAAATCAGCTAACTGCGAGATTGTTGAGGGGATCTCAGACTCGCAAAACTCATTGTGAGCCAAGTTAAGCCATCGGAGATGAGAAAGAAGAAAAAGAGTGGTGTCGGAATTGATGGTGCCATAAAGCTGGCAATCCTGAAGGTCGAGGCCAATGACATTTCCGGTTACATTATCACAGGAAACTCCATCCCATAAGCAGCAATCACTTCCTTCCTTCCAAGAAACAATCTTTCTTGGTTCGCTCATAAATGGACCCTGAAAAGAACAGTTATTTAAAGAAATTGTATCCTTGAATTGGAGCAATGCAAGGCTCTGATCTGGAGGACACTGATATGATGAAGAAGAATGAGACACAGAAAAAGCAACTTGAGAGACTAAAATTATCAATAATGGAAAGTTGAGAAACTTAGTGGGAAGTGGTATCAAGATTTCCTCCATCTTCCCCTGAATTGAACAAGAAAACTGTGCTGTGCATATGATTTTGTAATGATTCTATATTTATTAACAATTTATTTATTTAAATGCAAATTTTAATATTGCTAATATATATTAAAATATTTTAATTTAATGGAAAGTATCTTCGTGGACTATGAAGCAAGAAAATAGGAGGTCTTTGTTTAGCTCCCTGAGTCTTCCGGAAATTGTGCAGTTCCGATGGAATCGTCTTCATTGGGCTGCAAATTAGTTCTTTTCAATAAACTTAAAGACCCGCCATTTATCTTGAGCAATCGACGGCTAATAGAGATTTGATAGCAAAGAATTTAAATGTTATCATAGCTCAACACCACAAAATCAATCAATGATCCATCACACTGTTACATTACAGCAACATCAGTAATAAATAAACTAATTATTTAAAGACTTTGCTTTCAGAGTAAACCTTTTTCTTGATCATCTTGATTATGTCTTCAACCCTGCACTAAACTAAACTCAGAATCAGAACGCTTTAAACCCAGTACTTGTAGACTTTGCTAGTCCACTACACAAGCATCCGGAAATTCCTAATGTAATGACGTGAGACAATATGCATATGATGGATGTGATGGTGGTAAATTAGACCCTATTGTACCAACAATCAATTGGTCTAATGAGATGAGGCATTAGATCCTTTAAGTAAGATAAGGTGTTCAAGTCCTGACATTCTAAGATCAATAGATCAGTTACGTATAGTTATATATAAAAAATTAGACCCTACATCTAACTCTTAAATTGAAGTATTCAGTTTGGTTAACGTATAAAACTACGTTGGCAAACACATCTCTTTTAAGTCATTCGGCTCTTTCAAACAAAATCTTCTTCGGCTAAACACTTAAAGTCACCATTGATTCGTCTTCTTTACAATGGGTGGTGCTTTGATTTAGGGTTGAGGTTACATGGATGAAACTTAAATCTATTTCATAATCATGAGAATTGTTAAATATTGACTAAAATTTTAATTTATAATTAAGTTGAATTTTTAGATGAGGAGTTTCATGAAATTAGGTTTTTTGATGATTAAGTATTTGATTCTATAAATATAGAGAATATCTTAACATTTAGAATTATGAGAAAAATAGAGAATTAATGAGAGAAAGGGTGGATGGAAGAGCAAAGGGGAGATCGAGGAATTATTTGGTAGGGAAATAACCTTAGTTTAATTTTCATGTAGATTTCATTTTTTGAATATATATAATATATGGTTTTTTAAGAAAATCCAATTGCATTCTAGTTTATTAGTTTGATTGTGCAGTTATCTTCCATGTATATATCAGATCGTCCAGGAGACACAGAATACAACAAGAACCCATATATGACGGTGATGAGGTCCACTTAAGAACATTAGACATAATTCTACTAAGAACAATCATCTCAGCTCAACACAATACAGACATCACAAATATCACAGGCCAGTAGTACACAACAATATATCAGAAAAATCAGTTGCTACTAAGTCTTATAAATTACTCAGCAACTAATTGCTTCTTCGACGGAGTCTACCACTGAGTTTTGACCGTTTTATCTTTCGGGGTTGAAGTCTTTCGACCAACATCACCAGCCATTGAGGTTTACCAGTTGAAAACACCACATACCCCATAATCAGACCAAAAATAACTCCACATCCATACCCTAACACTACAACTTTCCACACGAATTCAAACATTGAACCTGATGAAACATTTTGTTGTCTTGCTGGAGGATGCTGTGTATCAGTTTTGTTGCACAATTTGGACGATGGAATTCCGCATAATCCCGAGTTTCCTAGCTAGGACTTGTTTGAAAATGTATTGAATTGTTTCCCCTGTGGGATTGGTTCCTCAAGCTTGTTGTACGAAAGGTTCAAGACTTCAAAAAATGTCAAATTCAACAGTTTCTGCAGAATGCTGCAAAAAAAGTTGATTTAAAGAGAGGTCTAACCATTCCAAGTTGAGGCCTTTAAGCGACTTAAGCTTTCCAATGTTGCTTGGAATTTCACCATTGAATTTGTTGTTGGAAAGATTAGTGGTGGTTAAGATGGTAAGAATTCTCTTCAGCTCAATATCAATACGATAGTAGCTGCCTTCAGGTCCCATGTATTTCAGTTCTCGTAGTTCATTGCTGCCCACACTCAACATAGCTTTTAAATTGTCGAAGAACCTCTAGGCAATGAGCCTGTGAATTCATTGTGAGAGATGTCCATGATTCGCAACATAGGAAAGGAAGGTTTGGTTTTAGTTGACTATGGCACTATGGAACTTGTTGGATCGTAAGATGAGAACCCGAAGCTTTGGGAGAGCTCCCAACCAGTGGGGAAACTGACCACTAATTTTGTTGTTACCAACATCATCAACTTCCAATTCTTTACAATTATGCAGAGAATGTGGCAACGATCCCTCCAATTGGTTCCCGTTCAAGGAAAGAGTCATTAAGCTTCCACATTTGGCAAAGTTCGTAGGTATTACCCCATGAAAGTTGTTCATCCGCAGATCTAAAACAATCAACAAATAGCTGAATTCTTCCAATCATTGTGGAATTTTGCCATTCAAGTGGTTATTAGACAAGTCAAAATTGAGGTAGAGACCATGTTGCAGATTGAAAGAGGAATCTCTCCAGTCAACTTATTGTTTGAAATCAAAACAGATTCTGGCCAATGCATTGCATCTGGAAGTGATCCTTGAAGTAAATTCGAGTGGATATATATCAAGTACAGACAAGCTCTGCCATTGAAGAAATCCTTGGAAACTTGTAATAAGGTTGTGTGAAAGATTCAGATATGACAATGAATCCTCTCCGAGTCCCAAAAACCACTCTGAAAGAGCCCCTGAATTTTGTTGCTCGAGAGATCTAAAGTTTGCACATACTTTGAATCTCTCAAGAATGTTGGGATTTCTCTTGGGTTGCATGAGGACAAAAGGAAGTAAACATGGGCAAGGATAAATTTTGGTTGCTAGTAGGAAGACTCAAGGACAAGGTGTTGTATGAGAGATCAAGAGAGGTAAGAATATAAGATTGTTGAGTTGTAATTTCATCTCTAGATCAAGAAAGCCACTCATGTTATTTGACGAAAGTAAGAGAGTATCCAGGTACAGAAGCCCAAAGAGTAACCTTGGAATTGGGCCATGGAGCTTGTTGCTGCTCATATCAACGTAAGACAGCTCTGATTTACTCACATGAAAGTCATCAATATGGCCATTAAGTTGATTATAACTATGATCCAAGTATTGCAATGATAGGATAGTAAACAAGGAAGACGGTACTGTTCCAGTAAGTTGTTAGATATGTCAAGAAGATCCCAGCCTGAATGACTACTTATGCTTGTTGGAATAGGACCTGTCAGCTGATTATTTGAGAAGTACACTGAAATAGGCTGTGTCAGGTTGAATAAAGAAAAGGGCAACTGACCATTGAAATTGTTCATCCCAAGATCTATGACAGACAGGTTGGTGAGATTAGTGAACGCATTTGGAGTTTGACCAGTGAGAGATACAAAGAAGAAAGATTTTCAAGTTTGCCAACTGAAAAGGGTAGCTTACCTGTGAAATGCCCGTTGGAGAGGCTAATATCAGTGATCTGTGTATGGTTTCGAATGGATGCAGGAATAGATACTGTGAAAGAACCTCCTAGAGTCAGGGACTTGAGCGACACTAAATTTCCAATGGAATCGGGTAATTCTCCGGTGCCATGGACATCCAAATAGTCCAAAAACTTCAATCCTCCAATAGAATCCGGTAATCCTCCTGATATTCTTGTGTCCTGTACAACTAAGAACTTGAGCGGGGCAGTCCAAT